GTCGAGCACGCGAGCACGCGAGTGTATACGTACGCGATCGAAGTAACCTAGACTCCCCGGTTTCCAGGCCGACGACGTTTCGCGCGCGACTCTCCTCGGCCGCTTGTGTCCGAGCCTGCGCTTTTTCTCGCGATTTCGTGCGGCCGGACGCTATGCGACGTAAGGACACCCGGACGGAGCGCATGTACCGGCAATTTGGGCGGGGGATGTGAACCAATTTGCGGTAAGGAGAAAGTTACAGGGTGGAGAAGGAGCGAGTACAAATGCGACTACGTGGCCCGCGCGCGAGCCATTTTAATCGTGATTCGCGACGAACCGTGCGCCGAGTGTGAGAGTCGTCGCTGGGAAAAAAAGCCGTAAAAAGCCACGTCGGAAATCGGTCGGTTTCGGTTTTCCAAATTGCCCGGCGCCACGAGCTCGCTGGTGTGGAAAGCGGCGAATGAGGGCGGCGATAGCCGGGCGGCTTCGCTCCCCTAGGAATCGCGTTTATTTCATATGTACAAAGGCGCGAAACGCTTCAACGGCGAATACGGAAAAAAAGGACGAAATAAAAAACCGGCCAAACTGGCGAAACGAAATATACCAATTTAACGGCACGCGCAAGCGGCTGTCACCCGTCATTACGCGTCGTACTCGATTTTTGGCCGCGTTTTTGCCCCGTCGTTCTTTACCGGCCGATACCTGGCTGGCTATGAGGGTGGTAGCGCGGCAGCGGGTCGAGGCTGAAGGCAGGCAGGGGCGAGGGGGGTGGTGCTCTTTGAAAGGTTCCGATGCCGCGCGTCTACTCTGTCAATTACTGATAAAAACGGCGACAGGTCGCGCGGCACGAGCGACAGGTTAGGACCGAAACGGCCACGGGGGTGGCTGGAATGTAAATTATCACGTCTGGCCGGACGATAAATAACGGCGCGGCCTCGCCGAGCCCAAAAATGTGGGGGCATCGTTTCGCCTGGCCTGGACTAAAACGGCGGAAAAAAGGCCGATGATCCCCGTGGAGCAACCAGCCCGCGTCATCCGTCTAACTGCAGAGCTCCGTCGAACGCATATATATATATATATATATATATATATATATATGTATATATACATACATACATACATACATACATACATACATACATACATACATACATACATACATACATATATACATATATACATACACACATATATATATATATATATATATATACATATAGTGCGCTTCGTGTGCAAAAAGTGATACTGTATAATTTTTTTCCCCACGCATGTTGCAAACCTCCGTTTTATTGAATGGCCTGTGACGTTTGAGAAATCTCTTTCCCTTTTTACTGTGGAGGTGTAGTTTTGTAAATCGGCCGTTTTCATATCGTATCCCTCTCTCTCTCTCTCTCTCTTGCGTGTGCGCGCGCGTGGTCTCCGACGCGCGATTCCTCCGGTTATCTCAATCGTAATGGCGGTGTATTATAGCGGCGGGTCTAACCAGATTCGCCGAGAGATATGATTACGGTAGAAACGAGTTTTTCTTCGCTTGACATGCCGATGAAATATGATCACGGCAACCGACGTTCGCGGGGCGATACGGGGACTGGTGGAGGAGGGCAGGCAATACGGGAGTGTGGGTGTACGTATACCCACGCGCCATCGTTCAGCGTGCATAATGTCTCATAAAACCCGGCGGGGTTATTTTTCGGGAAACAACGACGGGGTAGCCGACCGTTTCCATCGCGTCCGGTCGGGGAGGAACGAGATCTCGTCGTAGATCATTTCTTACGTGCGTTTTTGCCGAGAGAGCCGAGAGATTCGACTGATCGATAACTCGAGCATGATAGGTGATTACGTTCGTGATATACAACCTCTTCCTCATGGTGCACAGTGTTAAGCGTACAACTCTGCTCTTTTGATGCGCGAATAGATATAGAAACCGATGCACACGAGATTGCTTTACCATTTATATCCGCGGGAAATTGTCGAGAGATTGTACGGCACTGGTCGAATTAAAAATACCGACGAAACTAGGGTCGCAACTCAAAACTTCTGTCATCACGATGATAGGTCTCGCGGCAGGGATACTCGCGTCGCTCGATGTTCGTGCCCGGGATACGATTGTACGTAAGTGATTTCATTTGGAAATTCGAGGGACTATTTTCTGGATGTGCCCGAGCCAGCCACCGGCTCGGTGTTCTCTTTATGGCGTCGAAAAATCTATTTACCGTTCGCCTCGCTCGCTTTTGGTTGTCGTGCTGAGGTCGAGCCGTGGAGAATCCATTTTGCAGCGTGACGTAGAAAAGCGGGACGTTGACATACCGCGCGACCGAGAGAACGATAGCGGAAGAGAGAACGCGAGAACAAAGAAGAAGAGAGGAAACCAGGGAGGGAGGGAGGGAGGGAGAGAGAGAGAGAGATAAAGAGAGACAGACAAAAAAAAGAGAGACGAGTTACGCGCGCTGCGTGTATCTGCGGCTCGCTTGCGTGCGTGAATTTGTATATATGTGCATTATAAAAGGTAGTCACGCGTTATACGCCATATGAAACGCGCCACGTCGAGTCGGAAGTGACGTGTGATTTGGAAATATTCGCCGCCTACGTCACCGCGAATTACTGGATTCCGTGAGTGCCGATAACCGGGTCGGCCAACATTTTTCAAAATACAAAGTCGGCACGCCCCTCGCGCGCATAGCTATACGTGAAGATAGAACGCGGCGAAATGCGAGCCCTCCGACAGCGGCGAGAGGGAGGCGAGTGAAATAAACGGAAAAAAGACGCGATCTCGATAGCTCTCGCGCGCCTCCTCCCTCGGCTCGGCCCCGTTTCCACCCTGCGAAGATGCCGCCGCACGGACAGCGCGAACCTCCGAGGAAATCTTCGCAGTCGACCCGGGCTGTTACCTTTTCCTCGAGTCGGACGGGACGGATCTGCATTAACTATGAATTCTATCCACCCTCTTGCGCCGCTGTCTTCCTCTCCTCCCTTCGCCGCGACGTCTTTCCCTCAGCTTTTTACTCTCTTCTCCTATCGCTCCTCTTCCGCTGACGCGCGCGCGTACGCGCGCGCGAGTGGCAATTTTTCGTAATCGAGTCGACTAAAGCGCGATCGGCGCGAATCAAGAGAAAGAGAAGGACAATGCGCGTCGTGGATTTCCCCCGCGTATGCTGACCGAATATGGCCGATTGTCGGGGAGAATCGCGGAAAATGGAGCTATTGAATTCGCATCTCCATCGGGGAAAATGATTCGTTTCACGCTGATCGTGGGCTAACTCATTCGTCATTCGTTACTAACGGAACGCTGGTTCCACTACGTTATCGAGGAAGGGAAGAGGGACTGGACGGTGTTTCGCTTTTCTCAGAGAGAACCGATATTTCCAGCCGACTTGGCCAGATCGGTAACTCGATTACGGAGCGGACGTACGCAGCGGGATGCTTTTAAAAGCTACCTCGCACTGACTTTCCATTACCTACTTACCGTATACTGATCCGAGGAACAACGCGCGGCCGGGCGTGCGCGTTTTACACGCCGCGAGCCGATACGACATTATCGTTTCCCCGGCCGCTCGTCCAAATCCGCCGAGAGCTTTCCGACGGTGGAATTACGGATTACGTCGCGACGTAATTAATTGACTGAAATACCGGGGGATGTATCATCGTCATTACAGAGTCAGCGTAAAGCTCGTCGGATTACCGGCCACCGGCCGGTACGCGCCGCGTAATGATCACGCTGGTGGCCGGCATTTCTCCCGATCCCAGCTCAGAATTCGCGTTTGTTAACGGAAGCGAGTTACGTCATGGTGTTCGCACGCGACCACTAACGGGACTATGCTAACGTGAACGACGAGTTCTACTACTTCTAATCCGCAAGCGGGCTCGCGAGGTGTCGCCTCGAGCCGTCTGTCGAGTTTAACGTAAGCGGTCTTAAAGTCCGTAGAGTACACATCCGGTGCGTCTTTCCGAACTTGGACCCTGTCGACGTCCACCTCCATGAGAGTCCGAAGCTCCGCGACGCCGCTCGGCGTCGCGAAAACCGCACGTACGCGCCGTGCAGCTCTGCACGAGAGAGCTCGGAACTCGATAACGCGACTTGACGCTTCTCCCACGATTAGTCGTCGTCGACAAAGACGACGTCGAGTCGACACGTTGACACGCACACGCGATTCGGCACGATGCGTGCGCGTTCGTTATTTAGTCAGCCGCTCCCTACGGGCTCAAAGCGCGCGTTATTGCTCAGAGAGTCAGCAGCACGGACCTTTTGGCTCGGCTCTAGGGAGCGGCAGTCACAACGCGAGACGGCGTTTCCTTTCGCGATCTTTCCGTTCGACACTCGCGACGCATCAGTCCGTTCCGTCGCTGATTCATTGTCATTCGTTTTATTCGCTCCCGCTGGAGTCCTCGAATGATATCTCGCACAAGAGGACGACGTCACGCACGTTCAGTCCTTCTCTTCTGCGTCCTTACTTTTGATCACACAACAACTGTAGCGAGAGTGTCTTTGCGATCACGACGAATCTCGCGATTACGCGCGTACGAGGAGTTCGAGTCTCGCTCTCGTGGAAACGGCGCGGAGGAGCCTTTTTTTGCCAAGTCGAGTGTACCAGCGGCGTCATAGCTAATAAGTAAACCGTAATAAATTACAAAGATCCAGGACGTTCGTTCGTACGTACGTTCGTTCGTTCGTGCGAAAGGATTATCTCGTCGCGTTTAAATAACGTGGACTATGCGCTCTCGAAGCTTGAGCTCGTATCGAGCTTTCGATCTGGTTTCGCGTCGCGAGACACATGCGAGACTCGACTCTTTCATACACGCGCGATCGGACGCAAGATACGCGCGTCGGAAAAGTGACAATCGGTTCCCGTGGATTTCGAGAGTCCTAGAGGAAGCGGAAACGCTCCGCGGTCATTCTCCTCTCGCGAAATGTCCACCGCGGGCAGAACTGTCCGACTCGCAGGACGCGGCCTGGCCGCGTCACGCTTCCCCTCTTCTCCTTTAACACTAGCGCGATTTCATTGCTCGCTCTGAGATCTACTCACCGCTATCCTGTGCGATAATCGGGTCAATCGCCAGCAACAGGACGAGGAAGAGCGGAGTCATATTGACCACCTTCTCTCCCGTCTTCCCTCGGTCACCCGTGATCACTGCGCACTTAACACCACCGTCGCAGCGTGCCACCTATGAAAAGATAAACCACCTTCGTCAGAAACATACCACCTTCACTCGGGAGGGCGAAGAAAAGAAGTGGACGACGACGACGATGATGATGATGATGATGACACACGTCTTCGTTTCCTCGCGAAAACGATGTCGCAGGCGTGGCGCGCCGCGGGGTAAAAGTCCTGCTGGGACTCCTCTCCCTCGTCGCACGCACACGCATACACACACACTCACATGCACACACAAAATCGTCTCGCAGGGATGACAGTCGTCGGGGAGAGTTACCAAAAAAATTGGGCACGTTGAATTCTCGAGCAGTACGAGGAGAGCGCGGACGGTCGCGGCGGCTATGGGGGTTGGCTGACACTCCACGTTCTCTCAGTGAGCGGAGTAAAGTGGGAAAGAACGAGAAAGTGCAACGAGGAGTTTGAGCTACGCGTAAAAAAATACTTGTCGTTTCTGGTGCGTTTGCGGTATAACTGTACAAAACGATGGAGTGACGCGAGAGTGCCTATTCAACGGCCGTCGAAGGAAAAGTATCGACATGCGCCATTTACCGCTCGCTTTCTCTCTCTCTCTCTCTCTCTCTCTCTGTTTATCTTTCTCTTTTTCTTTCTCTGGCGTGCGCGCGTGCAAAATATTCTGCAGATATATCTCAAAGCGATCGCGGTGTCGGTGGTCAGCGTCGACGTTGGGGAGAAAAGAAACGCGTGTTTCTCTCTAAGCCGGTCGCTGACATCGTAATAATGGCGCAATCGTCGTCGCCATCCTCACCTGTGACGATTCGCGCACGCGAGAGAGAGAGAGCGCGCTGGAGCACCACTATTTACATTCTTCCGGCGTTCGCTCGTGTTCGTTTGCCAGCTGGTAATAGTGGGATCAATTTTGGAAAGGATGTCACACTTCTTTCTCGGACTGACCCTACTCCCCTTCCTGCCCTACCCCGAAAGGCGGACACCTCGCGATGTATTTCCCAGGAGGTACAAGATATTTTCCCTTTATTTTCCCTTCTCCGCGCACGGTCCGTCTTCCTGCCTCGGCGCGATCTTTTCCCGTTTCTTCCGTTCTGCCGAGTCACCACGGATCGTCGGTTCCTCTTCTCGCTTTCGTTTTGCCTCTCTCTCTCTCTCTCTCTCTCTCTCTCTCTCTCTCTCTCTCTCTCTCTC